CGGCACGGCATTGCTGCGGCCGACTTCGTACAGCGACGGGTTGAGCAGTGCCTGGTCCAGCGCGGCGCGCTCGCGCTGCTTGCAGGCCTCGTCCCGGCAGCCGGCGCGGCGGGCCGCGGCGTAGGTGCTGGTCTGGTAGATGTCGCGCAGCGGCGGCGTGCCGGCCTGCAGGTCCACCGCAGGCTCGGAGCCCGCCTTGGTGGCCGCCAGGGACGGCGGGTAGAACGCCAGCGGCAGGCTGCTCGCCACGACAAGGTTGCGCGTGAAGGCCTGCGTGCGCGGGTGCAGGTAGCGCGCGTCCATGTCCGTCGTGAAGAACATGCGGTCGGAGAAGTCCTCGTGCAGGGCCTGCAGCACGAGCAGCTTGTCGTGCACGTCGTTGGCGAAGATGCCGATGGCGCCGATGGGCGGCAGTTCGGCATTGGTCTCGCTGCGCTTGAGGTCGGTGCCCAGGCGGCGCAGGTAGTCGAGCTGGTCGCGGCTCTCGGGCCATTCCAGCGTCTGCGCAGTCTTGTTCTGCGTGGGCGCGGCGCTCGTCTCGCGCGATGTGACACCGTCCAGCCCGCGGAAGAAATACACCACCTCCAACTGCAGCCGGTCCTGCCCGCCCTGCCCCAGCCGGTGCTTGAGCTCGGCCACCAGCGACTGCGCGTAGAGCGAGTCCCGCTCCGCGACGACGATGACGCGGCGCCGGCTCTCGGCCGACAGGCGCAGGCGGATCTCGGCGTCCAGCTTGCGGATCAGGTCGCCATCGTTGCCCACCGTGCGCTGCAGCACCACGCTGCGGTTCTCGCCGGTGATGCGGCCGAACTGTTCCGTGACGAAGGCGTCCAGGTCCTGCTTGTTCAGCTCGGCCAGCATGCGGTTGGGCGCCGTCGACGCCGAGTTGTAGAACTCCGCGCGCGACAGCAGCCGGTAGCCCTCCTGCACCTCGGGCTCCAGTGCCAGGTTGTTCTGCATGCTGGGCGTGGCGCAGCGCTCCGCCGCGGCCGACGCCGACGCACCCGCGGCACTGGCGCGGTCGGCCGCGCAGCGCAGGTCGGCCAGCGCCATGCGCAACGCGTCGGTGGACGACGGGCCGATGACGGCCAGGCTAGGCCGGCCGCCTTCCTTGAACTTGAAGCTCGCCACGTCGCGCGCCCGCTCGCCCATCAGTTGCTGGGTCATGCGGGCCAGCGCGTCCAGCTTGCGGTTGGGCAGCGAGTTCTCGTCCACCCACAGCACGGCGACCTGCGCGTAGCGGGCGTTGCCGCGGCCGGGCTTGTCGCGCGGCCCGCTGCGCTGCGACAGCAGCTCGTA